AGAGCATGCTCCTCATAAAAGGTTGCAAATTGAGCTTACATTCTCTAGCTCCTCCTAAAGTTTAGGGTACTCAATATACGGGACCGAGGTTGGTACCCTTGAATTTAGTAAAGCGGACAGACCCATAGATAAAGGGGTGGTAGTGCTTTCAATCTGGTGTGACTCTTGCGCCATAGCTCGTGCAATCGATTTGGTTATTATACGACGAGATGGAGGTTTAGGATTCCCAATGGTGCTCTCCTATCAACATCACTTAGCAACTACTTCTTTCTTTATTCTGCTCTTGCTTTCTCTCTCCCTCTTTGAATTTTTTTATTATTTCTTGAAGATTTTGTTTTTGTTTTTTTTTTAATTTTGATATTTCTTTATTTTTTATGCTTTTATACTTTTTAACCTTGACTTTTTATTGCTCTTTTTTATTTTTTATCATTTATCTTATTTTACTTCATTATTATTTCTTTGATATTTCCCTTATAAGAGGGTTGAGGTGGCCTTATCGCAAAGAGTGGTTTTGTGTATGTGCGCCAACAAGATTGGTCAAAACAAAGTCTTTTTAGATGGATAGGTAAATGGTTTTTTTTTACTAAAATTTGGTAGGGTGGGGTTTTTGGATGTTTTAGGTTGATTGGTGGGGTCAGATTGGGCCAACTAGGCATGGATCGGGCAAATCTAGAAAAGAATTGGTTCGATCAATCTAGGGCTTCAAAATGGAATCGTGGTACAATAAAGGGGAAAATAAAGGTAGTTTTGGGTGAAATTTCATAGGGTAGGGTTTTTGTACAGTCTAAGGTGATTGGAATGGTCAGATTGGATCAGATGCTCCTGGATCAGAAGGATTTGGAATCCAATCAATTTGGAGTCTCAAAACGGGATTTAGGTGCGATGGAGGAGTAAACAATGTTTTTTGGGCTGAAATTTTACAGGTGGATATTTGGAGGTGTCCGAGATCTAATGGTGATGTTTGATTGGTCTTGGATGGTCAAGATCATAGGAATTTGGGTCAACGGGATGTTCTAGAACGAAATCTTGGTTCGAAGGAAGGACAAATTGGGGAATCTGAGGTTAAAGCTTTATGGATAGGTATTTTGATGTATTCAGAGTTTAATGGTGTGGTCTGATTCGTTCAAATGTGTTAAGATCAAGGGAATCTAGGTTCTGAGTGTTTAGGTTAACGAGAGGCATCAAAGTGAAATTTTTGCTTGATGAAGGGGTAAATGGAGGAATGTTGAGCTGGAATTTTATGGGTAGGTATTTTGAGAGGTTTTAAGTCTGATGGTGGTGTATGGTCTAAGAGTAAAAGTGTAAACGAGGGTTGATCGAGGGCCATCGGATTGGTATTAGAAGGGTTTAACGGTGGATTTAGGTGCTTTGGGGCTAAAAGTTGAGATTTTGGGGGTTTTGGATGTTTTGATATGATCGGGCATGTCTGATAGGGTGCTTAGGGTAAATTGGGGGTTCAGATAGAAGATCAAGCAAAAATCGGGTGCTGACACCAATGTCACTTAGCAGCTTTATTTTGTATGTCATTTTGTGATTCCTTTTCCCTGGTATTCCAGACTACGACATCAGAGTTGCTCTGATGCCTTTGACGGTATTGGTTTCTGAAGGCCACATGATTCCCTGGAATCAATGTTTCTTGGATACCTATATGACCGGAAAGACGACACCATTCATCAATGTATGGGTCCAAATTGCATACGGGTAACTTCTTACATTTGCACTCCAATTTTGTTCATGTGTATATGTGAAAGGTTCAAATTTGATGTCGTTCTCAAGGTTTGGAAACGTGTAGTATGTAAAGCGAATGTGGAGCTCGACAAAGTAGGGGAAGTTCTATCGGATGTAGGTAAGGGAAAATGGTGGTTGAAGGCGTGCCATGGTAAAGAATTTGGTGTTAATTAGTTAGAGCAACATATTGTTGGCTTAGGGTTTTTTTGTCAATCGCCTGTATGCTGTGATAGTGCCGCATAGTGTCCCCTTTTGTTTGGGGAAGGATGTGGAGGAGGAAGGTGGTCAACAATATGTTGTGAGTCTTGTGACAATTAATATGTTCTTTTACTTGTAGTATTTAAGTAATGTTAGTGTACATGAGGAATTGTTGAAAGCGTCACCGCACTGTTAACACATGCAATCAAGTTTGGTGGCCTTATACTTTCTTGGCATGATGTTGTAATCAAATGCGATGGGGTCTATGGATGTTGTATAGGGTGAGATCATCATGATCACAACGCTTGCATAGTGTAGTTGTCCCTCTCCAATTGGGGAGGGATGACTTTCCATCACAAAGTTTGTAGTGTTCTTTTGTATGAAGAAAACATGGGTGAGTAGTCGCATCATTTTATTAATGCTTTAAATGGCCATCATTTAATTGAGAGAGTATTGTTGCCATCATGTGTGTTCTAAGGCCGTAAATGTATGAATCAATGGTAATAAGCTTTATTTTGACTATTTGATCATGGCAACCTTTGTGTTCAACTGTATCTACTTGAAAAGAAAACGGAATGAACTATAAGTGCCTAGGGCTGATTACCCAGGCTTCATACATAATGTGCAATGCTTGGGGATGGTTACCCTTAGTTTTAATGTTTTTTAAGATAAACAAATTTTATTACTTTTATTATAATTATTCATTTTTGTTTTTATATCTAGTATTTTTTGTACTTAATTGTAATTTTTTACTTTTTATTATTTTTTCATTTCAATTATTTTGTGGTTATAATTTATTGAAAATAAATATTAAAACTAAAAAAATTACTAACCTATATTATTTTATCCTTTTTTATTATTTTTCAAGAAGCAAGTTAATTTGTAATATTAGTTTTGTAGTAGAAATTTTAATTAAATAAACAGATTTATAATTTAATTAGATTGTATTATGTTCAATTAAAATCATAATATAATTAATTGAGTTATTGATGGAACACCTATCTATTTAGTATATGTTTGGCATCGATGTTGCAATTGCAGCATCGTTTTCTCAGAAAACGAGAAAATGGTGCTGCTGATGTGTGGTTGGAAGTGTCGTTTTCTCAGAAAACTATGCTTTTATTTTTGTTTGGAATCGTTGCTGCCAAGTAGGACGTTTCTTGGAGCAACAACAATTTTTTCTGTTTGGTACCAATGCTCTAGGAAACGTTTTCAGCACTAGTACCCATTATCCAATGCCACATCACTGCCCTATTGCCAGCAATGAGTTGCAGCTCTAATAAACGCCAGATTTGGCGTTGCTCCAAGCCATGACTTTCCGATTTCCGAGGCGTGGCTTGGAGCACCATTTTTTGTGAAAAAATGGTTCCAAACAAATGCCCATTTCCTGGAGCATCGTTTTTTCTGATGTGGCAATAATGTGGTGTCGTTGCTCCAGGAAACGACAACAATGCCAAACAACCGCTTATTGAAAAACAAATATAATCCTTTGAAGATTACGTTAGATAGTTGCAAGGAGCAAGGAGAGGATAATGACATGGGTTAAGGAGGTTGCTCGGAATGATAAGAGAGAGAGAGAGAGAATGGGGTAAGAAGGGTGAAAGGAGAAAGGTTTAAGGAGATAAGAAAGAAGGGGAATGGGAGAAGGAGAGGGGTGTTGATGTGGGACCTAATCGAGAACTAGCTCGTTGGTGTATTAGCTGGTTTGTTCTAGTGTTGACGCAAAATCAAATCTCGCAACCAACACTTTGAGAGAAAAAGGGGTAAGGGGTAGTTATTAATGGGTGCATAAAAAACGTGAAATCTAATCACTTTATAATATAGTATATAAGTACAGATCAGAGTTTCTTGTACATCGCACGGGTCCGCTAATAATAAATATAAATAAAGTGGATTCTATAATTGGAACTCCAACCTAGGGATGGGAATTTCTCCATCCCCGATGAGGATCTGACTTCCCCGACTCCATGGGGTTTGTTTTGGCAGGACGGGGATGAGGACGAGGATTAATAGAAATCCCCGATTGAGGTCAAGGTCAGAGATGGGGATTGATGTCCCCACCTCGCCTCAACCTTGATTATATATATCAAAATATTTTTAAAACATTATTTATAATTTATAATTTATATTTATTTTAAATTAATTTATTTTTTTTTAAAATACTATTATCTAAAAAATTTTGATGATTTAGATCCCACAAGAAACCTATCCGATTAGGGATGAGAGATGAATGGACAAATTTTATCCCAGCGGGAATAGGGAAGGGGAATATGACCCCACCCGGTTGTCATTCCTAATCCAACCTTATTAATCAATTAAATAAAAAAAGTGGGTCCCAACAAATGAACGAATTAAACATATAATACTCTGTACGGAATCACTAACCAGTATTCGTAACTACTAACTAGTAATAAAATAAGGAGAAAGCCCAATGGGCAGGCCCAAAACATTATTTCAAACAGAAACCTACCCGAAGAGAGAGAGAGAGTGAGAAAAGAGAGGGAGAAGTGGTCAATTTTCGGATCTCTCGCAAGCGGCAAACCGGATTCCGAAACATCGACTTTTTTGACCAAACCATGGAATCTGACCAACTAGCCGAAGTGGCAGTTTGAGTTTGACAGTACTGTTAAAAGTACAGTATCGTCACATTGCAACATTCCCCGCTCCCCTCTTTCTCTCTCCCTTTCCTTTTTTATTCCTTAATTGACGCATCAGCATCGATCAACCTTAATCATCGTCACCCAAGTACTGTTAAAAGCAAGGGCTGAGATCGGATGGACCCACTCAGTGGACAGTGCTAATTGCTATTTGCTCCAAACTCCTAACTGCATCTGTTATCTGACCATGACGTGGTTTGTTAGAAATAGAATAGTGTGTCTCTCTCAATATATTCTGATCCGACGGATAGGATTAGGATATAACATTGTTTCTAGCATTCTGGTTCATCTAATCTAACAGTTGATTGATCTATTTTCACCTCGTGCGAAAACAAACATGAGAGCTGAGCCTGGGCCCTGGGGGATGTGAAAGGAAAAGAAAGAAAAGTAGGTGTAGCGTGTAGGTGGTGGCCTGGCCGATGCTGGGGGTCCGTCTGGGGAGAGAGTCCGAAACTCCAGAAACTGCAGATGTTTATCTTCGGTCGATATATAATTAACGGCGGAAGCCAAAGTCATTTGTTTAATCCAACGGCTTGAGACGAATCTCTCGTCGATATATGGCCGCACAAGCGTCCATCATTCCATATTAATACTCTCGTGAACCATCTCCGGCACTCTCTCTCCAACCCTGGTTCTGCTCACCCAGACCAGGCTCTCTCTCTCTCTCTCTCTCTCTCTCTCTTTCTCTCTCTCTCGATTCTCGCCCTAATTTTTCGATCAAACTCTCCGTTCTCTGTTGAAGAAACCTGTAGAACGAAAGCCTGAAGGAGAGAAGGGAGAGAGAGAGGAGGAAACATTGAAGGCAAACTATGATGCAATCAACCGCCAGTGCTGATCTGCAGCACCAGCAACAACTGCCGCAGCACCAGCAACAATGGATGGCGATGCAGTATCCGGCGGCGACAATGGTGATGCAGCACCAGATGATGCCGCAGCACTACCCGGCACACTACATGCCATACCATCATCACCAACAGCAGCAGCACACGCAACAACAACAACAGCAACAGCAGCAGGGATCCATGGAAGATAATAAGACGATCTGGGTCGGTGACCTCCATTATTGGATGGACGAGAGTTACCTCCATAGCTGCTTCGCTCACACAGGCGAGGTGGGTTATTTGCTTTTTCTCTTTTTCTTGGCTTTATCTTCTTCTTCTTTCTGATATAAAGGGAAAAAATAGAAACTCTTTTGTCTTCCTCTGTTGGCTAACTGGCATTATCTTTCTTCAATTGTATGCAAAGGATGTGATGTCTATGTAAGAGGATTCCTCGTTTTTTCTCTCTTGTTTAAAGATTTCTCTAATAATTTGTTTGGGTAATGTGTGAAGCTATTAACTAGAGATGTTGATTTTGATGGAGTAATCCCACAAGTCCCTTGCATGGAAGTCTTCCTTTACATATGGCATTGATCCGACACCTTTTTTATGTTTGTTATTGGTGGAAAACATCTTTCCAACTTCACATCTGAGATGCTCATTACTCTATAATTAAAAAAAATTCGTAGTATTACTTGGTTGTTTTTGGGCAACCCGCATTACTGCTATATTTTAGAGAGACAATTGGGTGAAAAATTGTATAGTACCGAGGGATTCTCGATTGAGTGGACTGCTGTTTGGAAGTTGAAAGAAAATCTGACAAAATCTCCCCTTGTGTATCTTGCGAAACTCGGAAATTGTGGATGGAAAAGTGCTTTTGAGTTTTTCCTAAGGAAAATTACGGTTGGTGTACGGTTGCTAGGATCCAGACCTCTTCTTTGAGCTCTCTGATGTTCACCTCCTCAGGATCTGCAACACATTCTTGACTTCCTTGGGAGTTGGCATGGCTGCTTTCATAGAGCCCAGCAGAAGCAGATTTACTTCATGCTGTTGTCTCGTGGGGAGTGTGGGAGGAAAGGAAAGGAAGAACTTTCTGGAACAAGGAAAAATCATTTGAGATACTAGTGTAACTGATTACCATTGGAATCGACCATTAAGTTTGAACTATGGAGATTTTTACAGGTATTACAGTGGTTGCTATGATTAAACAATGGAACTATATATCAAGATTGCCCCCCTTGGGTAACTCTTTTGGAAGCAGTAATTATTTCAAGTTTTATATCAAGATTGTATATCTTGACTGTTCTTTTCTACTAATTTTTTAGTTGTATGAAAAAGAAAAGAACTGGTTGTCAGAAGCAGTGATTACTTGATTCTTTTCTTGTTAAAATTGTGACATAGTTACTGGGTTTGCAAACTCTAACTTCTTAAGTGATGCATGTTAAGTAGGGAAGACGTGAAGGATTGAAAGGAGACAACTGAACTGCTTCTTTGGACCAGGATTATTGCTAAAGGTGCTATTGAATGCATCTAAGGATTCTAGGCATTAAAGGTTGCAGACAAAAAGGAAGTCTGGTTAAAAAGTTCATGATGAAGATAAGGGTAGTCAGAGAGTGAAGGGGAAGCAGTTTGATGAGTTTATTAAGACAAAGAGAGATATTTTATGTGGAAGGGTCATTGAAAGGTAGGTTCAACCAGCTAAATCTTTAGGTCTTTTTCTCTATGATGAGGTCTAGGGCTTGGAGGGATAGGGTAGACTAGTGTATTTGAACGCAGCTAGAGATCAGGGCTAGGAGGAAGAAGTTATATGAGTGGACATGGTATCTGTTAGGGTGAAATATGAAAGCAAGGGAAGGGCTGAGGGCTTGAGGTTTTGGGTAGATAGAACAAAGGTAGGGAAGAGGGGATAAGATGTAGCTAAGGTATTGTGTATTTTCTGTTAAAGTTTTCCTTCACTTCTCTTTGTAAATTCTATTGTTATATATGAAGCAACATATATGGATAAAACTATATTTTTTTTTTTTTGCTGATTTTCTTTACAGCATTCACTATGTTTAGAAGTATTTAATGAATAACTGATGAAGTAAAAGAACTTTGGATAGTCTACACTTTGGTGCCCAAAACCTTAAAATGGAGGTCCTATACCAGCATCTAAAACATTGGAGCTGGACTGCTTCAAAATGGTACCTCTCTATTTATGCAAGAACTTGTCCCTCTTCTTTTTTTATTTTTATCTTGATTGTTTGACTAAAGGTCTAAAATAAAATTTTAACAAAACAATTTTTTATGTATATGATCAGAAACAAGATAAAAATATTTTATTAAACGAGAGAAAAGAGTGTAACCTAACCCCTCAAAAGTAAATGAACAAGGAATCTTAACTTCGTAAGATTGACAGTACAATGCAACATTAAGATACCCTGAAACAGTGTTGGGATCTGCCATGCTATGTATTGGATTCATAGCTCATTGCACACAGCCTTGCAAGCAGCAGATCTGGAGTCTCTGAGCATATGCTCCTCAATACAGAGACTCAATTATAACCTTCTACAGATAAGCTGTTTGCAAGCGAGTTTCCTGTTCTTGGAATTCACTTGAGTGAGCTATTTATCTGAGGGATAGCCTGTGGCACCTAGATTTTCAATAATGTACTTTGTATTTGACATTTTGGTACTTTTCTTTTTTTTAAAAAGGTAAGGTATATTGTATTAAAATCAAAAAGTATGCAAGGTCCTCTATACATAGTTTCTGTACATATTCACAACTAGGGGTGTCAATTGGATTGGATTTGGTCCAATCCGATCCAGTCCAATGTGAGTCCATTATATATGGACCAGGTCCAATCCAATCCAATGAATGTTTTGGACCAATTTGGACCGGTCCAATTCAATGTTTGGACCGTCCAATTTATTCAAATTCATTTTGATTTAGATTGGTTTCAACCCAAACCTGGTCCATTGACACATATATTCTTATCTTATATCAATGGACCAGATATTGGCTTAATCCAACCCAATCCAATATAAATTAGACATTAGGCAAAATCTTTGGACCTTTTTTCAGAGTTCTCCTTTGATGATCTTTGGAGGAATTTGGAAGCTGTAGCAAGCAATGTTCTGAGAACCGGACCGAACATCGACTCGGTAAAAGCAAAGGTTCACAGGTTAGAGGTTGACCGAGGTTGAACTGTGCTGATGTAATAAGTTATATATATATATATATATATATATATATATATATATATTGAAAAATACTAAACACAAGGAAAATTAGTCCAAAATAATCCAATATAGAAATAAAATAACAATTCAAACTTTCAATGTTTAAGACAATATGTCCACAATGAAAAACAAATACATCAATAAACAAAGGTTAAGACTCAATCCTAACAAATTAAATAGTATAAAATTATAAATCGAACACAATTATTTATCCTAATTCCTAAAGCATAATATTTAATTTATTTCTACAAAATTCAAAATATGATATCAATTTATTGAAGTTTAAATTTCACTATTTCTGTTCCAAGCTTTAAAGGGGGCTTAGGCTAACCTGGAACTGAAAAAGTAGGTGGGTTGTCTTGTCTATTATGTAAGAATTTGGTGGACTGAAAGCCTGAAACAAAGATCAACCGAATTTGAGCAAACCTGTAAACTAAACTAATGAATGTTAACAAATTTTCGAATTCAGAAATTAAAAAATAATTATTTAAAATTTAAAATAAAATAAATTACTGGAGATTGCAGAAACAAGTGCCAAGCGGTGAGAAGAGGAAGAGAAGAGAGGAATCGCTGTCACACAAGTGGCGGTGAACAAACCACCACCGGAGAAGAAGGAGGAGGAAGAGGAGGAGAACAGATGCCCAATGGAGTTGAAGGGATGCGGTGAACAGATCATCGACGGGAAGAAGAGGAAGTGGAAGGAGGCAGAAGAGGAAGCGAAGGAAGAGGAGGAGAGAGAGAGAGTACCTGGTGTTGTCGGCTACTGTTGAGGTGGTTGATGGTGAGGCAATGAGTCGTGACTGTTGCTAGCGGTGGAGGCGGCGATGTTCGGTGAGGGCTGGAGATCGAAAGAAAGAGAAAGAGGGACAAGGGTTTTGGGGATTTTGATTTGGTTTAGGTCTGTAAATTAAGACCTTAAGTTTTGTTTGGTTCAATTTTGCATTTTTTGTCTTTTTGTGATAAAAGTTGGTGTGTAACAAAACCGGATGGTTATGCAAAACCTGGACCGGTACACCGGTTCCCAGGTTGAACAGGATGGGTGGGCGGTTTTTTTAATAAAACAGTTTTGGGGGTATGTCCAAACCGGTGAGGGGTCTGGGTTGCGATTCAACTGGTTCAACCGGCCAGTCCGATCCGGTTTTCAGAACATTGTAGCAAGAAGTTCTACTGTGATGGACAAACCTGTTTCAGAGTCGGAACCTCCGGAGGAAGGATTTATCGCTAAATTTCGATGGCTGTAGTCTAGGCAACCCAGGGCCGGCTGGTATAGGAAGAGTTCTTAGGAACTCTGTTGGACATATTTTTGCTGTATTTTCACCCTGTTCGGAGTTGGGCATGCTGTGCATGCTGAGTTCCAAGCAGTCTTACGAGGGGTATAAATTGCTACAGATCTAAACTTTAACAGATTGGTAATTGACGGTGACTCTAAATTGGTAACAAGGTGGCTGAAGGAACAGGAAACTGTTATTTGGAAGCATAGGGAATCATTAAAAAGATTTAAATGGTTAATTAAAGATATGACTTTTTTTGTTAGCAATTTGAAGAATTTTATTAAAACTTAAACAGAGGAGAGAACAACAAGAAGCTGTTAGAAATAACATCCTTTACAAAAAGAGTCCCATCACCCTATTAACATTGAGCCCAAAATAAATGATGTCTATGTACTCCTTGTTTAGCTAGTCCATCCACCAAACCATTTGCGGACCTCCTAATTCATCTTAAATGAATTTGCATTTGTCTTGACAGCAACTTAAATTGCCTGAATTCATTTTTTTTTGTAGAACTAGGAGGAGCTACACAAAATGGGGGTAGCTCAGCCCCAAATATCACTCAAACAAATACACAAAAGAGCCCTAGGGAGAGAAAAAAAAATACTAGCCTGAATTCATTTCTGAAATGCCATAATACCCCTTCTTTTTTCAAACAACCAATTACTATTTTTGAGTCCCCTTCTACAATCAGCCTTGTAATACTCGTTTCCTTATCTTTTTGCACCCATGATATGACTGTTATAATCCAATGGGAAAGGAGGTCAGCAAATGGGCTGGCTGATCATTTTGTTGCATAAGTCTGAACTTTTTCTGGCTCAACTGTAATTCTTTTTTGGTCAAAGGGCTGCACGTCACACCTCTATTGGATTGCTTCATTGTAATACTTTGTTGTAACACTTTATCTTTCTTTAATAAAATTCATTACTTATCAGAAAAAGACATTCTCCTTTAAAAAGAAAAAGATAAGAATTGTTCATGGAAAGCTTGTAACTGAATTGCTCTTTCTATTAATGAAATCTTAATTTATTTATCAAAAAAAAAAAAAAAAGAATTGGCATCTAGCTTCTGAGTTCTTCAATAGCATGATTAATCACAACCTGCTTTGCATTATGTTATATTTGACATTTTTTTTGATCAGTAAATAAGACTTTTATTAATTCATTGATACTAATTAAGGTACAAGAGTTTTAAAGTTTCAGAGTGGTTAAGGATTTCTTTCCAGCCAGTAGAGGCCTAAGACAAGGTGACCCACTCTCTCTTGTCCTCTCCACACTTATTGCTGATGTGTTTAGTAGATTGTTCTCAAAAGCAGATAAGCAGGAGCTAATAAAAGGTTGAAGACTAGGAAGGAGAAGCATTACGATGACCCACCTTCAATTTGTTGGTGATATTTTCATTTTCTATGAAGGGATTGATTTAAGTAAGGTGGACAATCTTAAGAATCTAATAAGAGATTTTGAGAATGCATCCAATTTGAGGATAAACTCTGATAAAAGTTGTGTGGCAGGAATAAACTTGGAGGATTGGGAGGTAGAGTCCATTGTAGGTTGCTTAGGTTGTGCCACCTCTTCTTGGCCTTTGACCTACTTGGGTCTTCCCTTAGGTGCCAACCCCAAAGAGAGTCATTTCCGGTCTCCTATTGTGGAGAAATTTGGAAAAAGTTTGGTGGCCTAGAAAAAGAATTACATCTCCATAGGGGGTAGGGTGACTTTGATTAGGGCCACACTTGCCAACCTTCTATTTAAGTCTTTAGGATTCCCTCGAGGGGAGGCTAAGAAGATAGAAAAGGTAATGAGGGATTTCTTGTGGGAACAAGGGAGGTGAAGAAGGATCATCTAATTAGAAAAGGAAGAAGGGGACTTGGGGATAGGGATCCTAGTTCAGAAGAATGAAGCCCAATTAGGGAAGTGGCTTTGGAGAAAGATGATACAAATTTAACGTCTTCTAGATGAATATAAGTCATAGAATTAAGGATATTTCTAAACAATGATTAATAAAAATAGCAAAAGAAATCTAAGTTATGGGCAAAACTTAGGCTGAAGAGAGGAATACTACTATGTTATGTATTGCAGACTAAATGGGCACTTTCCTCTGGCTTGATACATAGCAACTTTATGGGGTACTATTAAATACTTATGGGGATCGTGTAAGGTGTAATGCTGACTCCACACGAAATGCTGGAGTCTTTTTTGTGGTAGGTGACTAGGACCTAGGTCAGTTAAGAAGAAGAGCCTCAAAATGTTTAATTATGGAATACTCTCAAGTGTTAGATAGGCTTACTCATGGGGATTGTGTAAAGGGTAATGCTGGCTGCTGGAGTCTCATATATATTTAGGTAGGATGACTGGGACCTAGGTCAGTTAAGAAGAAGAGGTCCACAATACTTGATAGAAATCTGGAATGATCTTATGTGTTTTGTCTTAACTAGGCTTATATAGAAGAAGGATGGAGGAGAATGCCTCTCCTAACAGGTACAACATCTGGTATTTTACAACCAAGCCAACTTGGGAATTTGTTCAAACCCATTAAGTTGGTTGGTTTGATTCATGGATTGCATTTCTAAGAAATAAGTCAATAACTTCATTGTGCATCACCTGTTTAGAAAAAAAGTTCCCTACATAGTTGTCATGGCGACGCCTAGGAGACAAGGCACCCTTTGAGGCTCGCCTTGCCTAATCGCCAAATAGTTTTGTACTATGTATTATAAAATAATATTTTATTCTTTATTTTTTGACATTATAATTATAAAATAGGTACTATTAAACTAAAATGTTCATTTTGTGTGGTTATATACTAATTTCTTTTTATTATTTTCTTACTTGTTAGGGTTTAATCAATATAAACATTGCTAAATGCTGTATTGAACCCCCAAAGACTTTAAAACCTGAACCAATAAGTAAGGAAGAACTTAAAATATTGTCTAATCAACACATTTTCTTTTCTTCTTTTCCTATAACAAAAATAAGGGTTTAGCCCCTATATTTTTTGAATTTTCTTTTCCTTCTTCTTTTTGTTCTCATGAATATGTTGATTTTCTATACTTTAACATGAACTCTCTACTTTTCTTATGAAAATTATGAATAATTCTTAAGAAAATATGGTTATGGTACCTAGGGAACTACCCTAGGACCTATGCTTTCTACATAAAAAAACCCATTGCCTAGGCAACACCTAGGAGACAAGGCGCCCCCCTGTCACCTAGCCTCGCCTTGGCGCCCTGAAAACTATGGTTCCCTATTCAAGATTTGTTGACACATATATATTTTACAAACCTTCCTTGTATTTTTTTGCTCTAGTCACAGGAAAGTCTTGATCACCTATTTGTTGTGGGTGATTGTTCAAGGAGAGTGTGGTAGGGTCAATGTTTTAAAAGTGCAAGGCGCGAAAAAGGCGCAGGGGTCAATTTGCGCTTGAAGCGCAGGGTGCAAGGCGAGGCATGCACCTTTTTGAAGCAAGGCGCAAAAATACAAAAAAAAATGTCAGAAATTTCAAAAAGTGCCAAAAATTAAAAAAAAAATATTAAACATAATATTAATAAAAAATATAAACTTAAATTTTAAAATAATGTTTTAAAAAACCTATTATCTAAAATTAAAATACATAAACATAAGATGTAAAGCATATTCAAATGAGAATTTAAAAATAAAATCAAACATATAAAACATTTTCATGCATGTAAAACCTCTAATCTCTTTTTTCACTCAATTGCATTACTTCAAGTAGCTAATGTAATGTAAAACATATTACATTCCTGATTCTACGAGCCGCCTTTGTGCCATGCCCCTCGAGGCAAGCCCAAACAAGTCCATTACTTCAAGTAGCTATTCAGTCATCATTTTGTATTGCCTTTGTTGACCTTTTGACATTTTTTAATATGTGCAGGTTGTTTCTATAAAGGTTATTCGCAATAAGCAGACTGGTCAGTCTGAGGGCTATGGATTTGTTGAATTCTTTTCACATGCAGCAGCCGAAAAAGTCTTGCAGAACTACAATGGCACAGCAATGCCTAACACAGATCATCCGTTTCGCCTGAATTGGGCATCATTTAGCACAGGCGAGAGGCGATCTGATGCTGGATCTGACCGGTCTATATTTGTGGGCGATTTGGCCGCAGATGTTACTGATACTTTATTGCAAGAAACATTTGCCAGTAGATATCCATCCGTAAAAGGTGCAAAAGTTGTCATTGATGCAAATACTGGTCGTTCAAAAGGCTATGGTTTTGTGAGGTTTGGTGATGATAATGAGAGGTCACGAGCCATGACTGAAATGAATGGTGTCTATTGTTCTACTAGGCCCATGCGCATAGGTGTTGCAACCCCCAGAAAGTCATCCGGATATCAACAGCAACAATATTCTTCTCAAGGTATACTAGCTATCCTAGCTTTGCAAATCCATCTAGAATATTGGTGGTATTGTTTTACTGGTTTTTCTCTTGTTTAAGTTGGTGAGATCATTATTTCATCATTACATGCTTCCATTGAATCTATTCCTTTGTAACAAATACTTCATCCATTTATTGGTGATAGTTATTATTATTATTATTTTTTTTGTTAAAATGATGCTAAGGTTAAATAGCCTTCAGAAAAGGGCATAACAAGGTTTCTCTGAAAATTTTTCCAATGGATAGCCAGATGAAACACCTTATTAACTGATTACAGTGATCTCTGAAAACTCCTCCTTATTGGGGATAAAAGGTTTCTCTTATCCACACTATTTTTTGTAAGCCAAACCAAACAGCAATTTCGCTTTTACCATAGATTCAGTCTTTCAAAGAATGGATCCATCCTGTAGTCCAAAATCTTCCTTAGCGTTCATGAAAGTGCTTCTGAACCACTTTAGACACACCCTCTGCCACCAAGGAGGAGGTCCTTAGGCTTTCAGGCATGAAATAAGAGAAGCTATATTTTTGGGTTATCAACCAGCTTGGTAGTGGAGGAAGTAGGAAGGGTGAATTGGGAAGGTTTATATTGAGGATGACCTATTCAATGCTAGCTGTGGATTTTCTGGTGCCTAGTTTTGGTGTGTGTAATGGGGAGATGATAGTCATATCAGTGGGGGTTGTTTCTCTATTTTATTTGAGCTTTTGCTCTTTCTGCTGTACTGTTCCTCTTGATTTTGATCTTGTTATTGATTAAAAAACACTTCAACTGGTTGTTGCATTTTTGTTCACTACTAGATCCTATCTCTAAGTAGTTTATCTGTGTTATTTTTTATTTTGCTTCATTTAGTGATTCTATCTTGGTAATTCTTGATATGAACATGATTTTGTTTATGAAGTCATGGTTTGATGAGTAGTAGTTTATTTTATTGTTGAAGATTCCAGCAAAGATTGTGGAAAGAATTGAGAAGCTTCAGAAGGATTTTTTATGGGAAGGGACTGGGGGTGAAAGAAGTTTCATTTGGTGTGTAGGCCAAAAAGGAATGGTGATTTGGGTATTAGGAGGGTCAAAATCTTCAACAAGGCTCTCTTGGGTAAGTGGCTGTGGAGATGTGAGTCTCTCTGGAGGAGGGTTGTAGTTGGGAAGTATGGGCTGGTGAGGTTTGGGTGGGAGTCAAGGGAGGTTTCCAATATGGGGTGTGTCTGGAAAGGGATATTGCAGTGCAATCAAGAGTTCAAAGCTGCAGTCAGGTTCAAGTTGGGCGACAGATCAAGGATAAGATTTTGGGAGGATGAGTGGTGTGATGTTGGGAAGCTATGTTAGGTATGCCTGAAGCTTTACAAGCTGACTGAGCATCACATTACAGTTGATCAATGTTTCGAAATGAGGGGAGAACAGATTGTTTGGTGCCCCAAATTCAGAAGACCCTTGCTGGACCAGGAGATAGAAAAATGTATCCAGCTGTTGGAAAAGTTACAGAAGGTTAAGGTTTCATCTTCCTTGAGTGATGGACTGTGGTGGAAAGAGTGTAGGAACGGGGTGTTCACTGTGAAATCCTTCTACTTGGCAATGGTGAAGGAAGGATCAGCTGGTCTCAGATCAGGTGGGGTGAGTCTGGGGGAACCCTGTTCCACCTAGAGTGGAAGCATTTGCTTGGTTGGTTGCTTTGGATAGTATTCTAACAGTTGACCACTTAAAAAGCAGGGGATTTTCCTTAGCAAATTTATGGGGTTTATGCGGTTCGAATGAAGAGACTGTTTTTCACTTATTGATAAAAAAAAGACTTTTTTCACTTATTCTTCTATTGTAAGACTACACAAATCATTTGGAAATTCTACTCCTCTCTATTCGGGCAAAGAGTGTTTCAGCCAAGGTCAATGGCAGAAATTTTCTTGGCCAAGATTTTGAGGAAGCAGGAAAGCAAGGAGTATGAAGCTGTATTCCCTTTGATGTGTGCTGGGTTCTGTGGAATGAAAGAAATAGAAGGCTGTTCGAAGACAAAGCTAAAAGTACTGGAAGGTGGGGAAACTAGTAGCGGAATGGGTTTGGGTGCTCCCATATTTTGATCAAGCCAGTACATAAGATTTGGGGGAGAATTTCTGGAATGTGTTGGAAATTCAGTCTGTGTAATCTGTTTCAATTTTTGGTTCAGCCTATGTTTTCTAGATCAAAGCTATTTTTGCTTTGTTTTGCTAGGTGCCGTCTTGTCACCTATCATTTTTGGATTGTATCTATTTTTTCTGTTTAATATAATATATATTATCATAATATATTAATATTAATATTAATGGGGCAAGGCTCGTGAGATTTCGACCCGAACTCTTTATGGTTGAGCTCGAGTTCGAATAACTAATCGAGCTTACCTTGAGATTTGAACTCAATTAAATTCAATCTTGAATTGAGTTTAATTGAACTTGAGCCCGAACTATTCAATTAGAGGTCGATTCGATTGTACCCCTAGTTTAGGGGTTTTTGTAAAGGACGAGGATGTAAAGAAAAAAATGGCCTAATACCTTTGCTTTCTTTGCAGTGGTATTAGGCCATCCTATGGACAATTTGGGAAGAAAAGAATGAGAAACTATTTAGGGTCATTTACTAAAACACCCCTATAGTTTCACAAATTTTCTTAAAGCTACCCTATACTTTACATTTTACTAAAACTCCTATAGTTTGCAACTGATTTACTTAATCGACCTTCTATCAAGAATATTTTACATTGTCGTCTGAAAAAGGTAATTCGACCACCTATACTGAATTGAAAATGTTTAAGGGCATAGGCCTACAGTATTTTATTCTGAAAGTACCCCTAGCACTTCATATTGGGCTTTTAAAATGAACTATTGTTTGATTTTCAGATCTACCACACAATATTGGTTCCAGCAGAATGAAGAAGAGAGAACAGTGTGCATCCCAGATTCCCAGGTTATTAATTTGCAACAGCATGTCTTCCTTCTTCGAATAGAGAATAAAGTTGATAAAAAAAAAGTTGTTGCCCATGTTTTATTAGGGGCAAGAGTGACATTTCCATTTATATTTTCTGTAGATTAATGGTCCAAACAGATGCTAAGGCCAAAACTGTCATTTTCCACTTCGATCTAATGGAAGGTCGATTAAGTAAATCGGTTGTGAACTATAGGTGTTTTAAACTACAGGGGGTATTTTAGTAAATGACCAACTATTTAGCAATGAAGTAAGAGCCTTTGAGAACATTATTGAGCTTACAATTAGGGTTGTGCATTGGGTAAAGACCTTGAATTTGTTTGATCCTTTCACAGAAGAAGACATTGGAAGAAAGTGGAAGATAGTAGTAGCATCCTTTCTGCCCAAGCCCCTCTAGGTTCAACTTCTTGTTCTCTCCCCCAAGAAGGTCTACTTAAAATGAAATTTGATGGATGTAACAGGGGAAATCCAGTATCATTGAGGTTTGAGGGAGCTTTTAGGGATGCATGGAGTAATGTAGTGGTTCTATTCTTAAGTCCCATTGGCAGCGGAAACTCCATAGAGGCAGAAATAAGTGCTATTGTACAAGGCCTCAAGGGTGGCAAAAATCTAGGGGTGCAACTTGGGCAGGCTTGATTTGGGCTTTTGTCAAAATTTGAATGGGCCCAGCCTGAAGGCCCGAGCCCGAAGCAGTGTAAAATGTTTACTCAGGCAAACCCAAGTTGCACCCCTACAAAAAGCTGTAATCTATATTATCTGATTTTAGAAGGTGACTACAAAGCAGTGGCGCAGTGGCTAAAAAATCAGGAGTAGGTACCATGGAGACAGAGAGACTAATTCCCCTCTTCCCAGATCAAAGAGTTCTATTTGTGCAGAAGCTGAGAAGTGTACAATTATCATTTTTTTTTTCCTTGGTTAAATGCCCAGGTCTGTTTTTATTTATTTTGTAGTAAATCAGTTCCTTGCTACAGATGTATACAACTTTAACTATTTATGTTCCATTCATTGCTTGGAGCTTTTCTATCTCTGGGTTAAGATAGACCTGGGCATGCAATATAAAAGTCCAAGTTTTTTTTTTTTTTTTTTTTTTTTTTTTTCTGTTTGTTATTTTATATTTTTCATAGTTCTTAGTCTTAGATCTTTGGATTGAAATTACAGTTGGAAGGATGCATTTCTTTTGCCCTTTTTTTGAGCTGGTTCTTCCAATCCGGATTTTTGCACAAAAAGTCTTATTCAATTTTGTATAATTAGCTTTGGTCTTGGTAGGTGGATATGCACCAAATAATGCATCTGGTCTAGGTGGACAATCTGATGGTGATTCTACAAACACAACAGTGAGTGCAGCTCCCTCTTGTTGTTGCCCAAAGATTGGTCTGCCTTTAGCTCTCTTTAACCCATGTTGCATTGTAGATATTTGTTGGAGGACTTGACCCCAGTGTCACTGATGAAGATCTCAGGCAACCTTTTTCTCAGTATGGTGAGATTATCTCGGTAAAAATTCCAGTTGGGAAAGGATGTGGCTTCGTGCAGTTTGCGAACAGGTACACCTGCCATTTTTATTCTTATTTTTTTGCATATGTGCAGTGAGATTTCAAAACTTCTGCAGCCATCATTCAGTCCAATTACCGGTTAACATCTTTTGGTAGAACCAATGCTGAGGAGGCTTTGCAAAAGTTGAATGGCACTGTCATTGGCAAGCAGACGGTTCGCCTTTCTTGGGGTCGTAATCCAGCAAACAAGGTAACCATTTTCGTTTCATCTTTTCGTACAATGCTATTCCGAGCCAATTTATTGAATCTAATGCTACCATTTTCACTTCACTGTGACTGTAATTCTTACTTGATATTTGTATATGCTGGGTTTGACAGATGAGAATTGATCCTGTTAATCAATGGAATGGAGCATACTATGGAGGACAGGTTTATGATGGATATGGATACGTTATACCACCACCTCATGACCCAAGCATGTATGCTGCAGCTTATGGTGCTTATCCTATATATGGTGGCCACCAACAGCAGGTTAGCTGAATTGCAGTCATCAGATGCCACCACAACTGTAGGATGTAGTTCTGTACCAGTAGCTATTTATAGTTTGCAGGGTTGTAATTGAATCACCATGAAGCTCATGGTGAACAATAATTGAATTTTGACGACCCTAATTCGTTTTTAGGATTGTGTTGAATACTTGTTCTAAATGTTGTGTGGTGCTGCATAAGCTCTCTTAAGCCATGATCAGTGGTGGGGGTAGTAGCGGATGTAGATGGTTTGATTTTGTGATTCACAGATCCCTAGGTGGGGTCTGGATCTAATTAAAATGGGTGCTTAAAATTGCATCCAAACGGCCCTAGATGCTTGCTAAAAGCGTGCCTGTGAGATAAGCAAGTGTCTTTGTTTTTGGCCAGATGAAAAAGGGTTCAGGCAGACTGAGCATTGTTACGGGATTGGCCTCGTGTCTGAGTGGGTGTGGATCTATTAGTTGGGTTACTAATTCGGACCTCTCTCTTGGAATGCATTTACAGTTTTATTGGGCAAAGTTCCACTCTGCTGGTCTGTGTGGGATGCTCTGCTAGTAAAGGCTAAAGCTAAATCAACCCGGTTCAATATTTTTAGTTGGCCCAGCTAGATCCCTGTTGAGTCAAAGATTGAGACTGTCAGGTACCGTCTCTCCTACAACTGCATGTGAATTTTGTGCTGTCAAAAATAAAAAAAAAAGAGGATCTTGGTTCGGTTTTGAGCTAATTTTAGATTATGTCAGCTTGAGTCAATACCACTGGTTGCCTCTGCAAATTTAAGGACATCTTATGATCTTAACTATGTTATATTTGGGTCCAGGCCACGTAATGGGGAACTGGGCAGGGTCTCTCCCGTCCACCCCGCCCAAACCCTAGATAATTGCTACCTCATGATGAGTTGAAGACACTTGAGAGGTTATCTTAATTCTTAAATGGTTAAACTAATTGGGTTGTAGTACTGGTTGTTGAAATTCATTCCAAGTCTAACATTTAAAATTCTGTGCTCTTTCATGGTAGAAATTCATTCAACAAGGAGGGGATTTTCTACCAAAAAAATTAGGAGGGGATACAGGAGATTGTATAATTTGTATTGCGGCTATTGCCATTGGCAATGTGCCGCAGATATGTTCCCCAAGACTCCATTCAATTCGGAAAGAGTATAATAAAAACAAATGCGTGTAGAAAAAGTGAGTAAAAGAGGTTGTAATAATTATTCTTTCATGTTTTTAATATTATTATAATCTTTTACCACATATTACTTTAGTCATTTTGATTTCAAAAAAGCGATAATGTATTATATTTAATATTATTTTAATTTTGATTAGTAAAGTTTCATCTTTTGCATTCATCTCTGTTTTTATATGTTTTTCATTTTTCATTCATCTCTGCTTTGAATTTATATTTCACTCATCTCAGTTATGCTTTTCTTTTTCCTTGTTTCTCTCTTTCTTTTTTCATTATATATTATTTTTTTATCAAAATGTAAAAGACAATTTTTATGCGATGGAGAACGACAACCTAATTACTATTATAATTTTGAAGATTTTTTAAAAAATATATTACTTAAATATTGTAGTAATTACTATTGTCATTATAATTTTGTTTACCTATTAATTATTTTTAATATTATTTTGCACTTTGATTAGTAAAGCTTCATTGTAGCTTTGCATTCATCTTAGTTTTTACATACTTTTTCATATTTTAATTTCTTGCCTTTCTATTTCTTTTTTCCATTATATCTTAATATATTTTTTTTTTTCAAAATGTAATTGACAGTTTTTTTATGGGATGGAAAATGACAACCTAATTACTATTATTATTTTGGAAGATTTGTTAACATATTTTACTTAAACGTCCCCTATGTTGTAGTGATTACTTTGTCATTATAATTATAATTAATTACTAATTTATATAATTAGAATTAAATAAAATTATAATTATAAAGAAAGAAATGACGATTTTTTGATAGAATTGGGTGAGTGGAATTAGGGCCCTCAGTAAGATTTCAAATACAAACTAGGTGGGATCTTCAAATCCGAGTGGAGTTTGAATTGGATTCAGATTCCCCTTTTTGCTAATTGGATTGGATTTGGATTTTGATGTATCTAATCCAAGCCTAGTCCATTTACAACCCCATGAGTAATGGATAAGGGGACGGCAGTGGTGATTAGACCTGTTCATGGGCCGGGCCGGGACGGACTTTTACTCATCATTAATGGAAATACGCTAGACCTGAGCCCGAGCTCGACCCGACCAACGGGCCTATAACTTGGGCCCGAGCCCGACCCTGATAAAAAGCCCGAAGCCCGACCTAATAAAAAAATAACAATTTTCCCCATTTAAATTAGAATTAAAAATTCAGATGTTTTTTTTTTCTATTTAAATGAACAATGGGCTTACAAGATGGTTTTTTTTCCCTTTCTTTTACGTTTTAAAACACAGTTTTACATTCTTAAATCAAAAATTGATAGAATTGGGTGAGTGGAATTAGGGCCCTCAGTAAGATTTCAAATACAAACTAGGTGGGATCTTCAAATCCGAGTGGAGTTTGAATTGGATTCAGATTCCCCTTTTTGCTAATTGGATTGGATTTGGATTTTGATGTATCTAATCCAAGCCTAGTCCATTTACAACCCCATGAGTAATGGATAAGGGGACGGCAGTGGTGATTAGACCTGTTCATGGGCCGGGCCGGGACGGACTTTTACTCATCATTAATGGAAATACGCTAGACCCGAGCCCGAGCTTGACCCGACCAACGGGCCTATAACTTGGGCCCGAGCCCAACCCTGATAAAAAGCCCGAAGCCCGACCTAATAAAAAAATTACAATTTTCCCCATTCAAATTAGAATTAAAAATTCAGATGTTTTTTTTTCTATTTAAATGAACAATGGGCTTACAAGATGGTTTTTTTCCCTTTCTTTTATGTTTTAAAACACAGTTTTACATTCTTAAATCAAAAAATTTATTCAAATGGACATAATCACATAACCCATTTTAAGTCTAATTTTAGGTCAGGCCGGGCCGGGCTATTTTGACAAAACCCGAGCCCAGCTCGAATTTATTGTGCATCAGGCTTTTTGGCTCGAGTTTAAGCCTGCGGGCCTATAAACATGTTCAAGCCCGTCTGGGGGCTGGCCCGGCCCATCGGACCACCCGGCCCATGAACAGGTCTAGGGGTGATTATGGGTTCGGCCCATCTTAGCACCTATGCTAAAGGCTGCAACCTGGGCTTAAGTTTGACAAAGCTAAGCTTTGGGCATGTCACGAAATATCTCGAATTAAATTTTTTTTTATGGAATTGGGTGAGTATAAATAGGGTCAAGAACTCTAGATGTCCAAGATCCAGTCTGAAAGATTCAGATGAACTATTTACATAATCTCAATACCTAAGGATGTTGGGGGTGGAGAGAGAGAGAGATGGGGAGGAGGTGAAGTGACAAAACTAGGGGTTGTGTGGGACCCGATGGGACCTAGTGCCATGCTGGCACTTTCCTACTTTCTGGTTATTTTTAGAAGCGTTAATCTTTTTTTCTGGTTGTGTTTGAGAAGCACTTGTTTTTTTCTGTTTTTTTTTCTCATTTTAAATTGAAAAAAATAACTTAAGTGTCTAATAAGCTATAAGACTTTTATCTCCTCTCATCAACTCACCAATTAACTCCCACTCCTCTTTCTCGTTAATTATGCTATTAACTCTCTCCATCAACAACTCATGCCATTGATTCTCCCTCCTCTTCATTACTCCGTTAAATTGCCTAAAGTTCATTAACTTTACCTATATCTATATCCATTTCAATTTAGCTATAATTTTATATACATTAGATATATTTATATTAGATCATTATTATCAATAAAAAGTAATTATATTGATATTGAGATATTCAATGATATATTATTATGTTAAATAATTTACTTCAATTTTAAAAGATAGTTAAATTTTATGCTAGAGATAAATCCACACTGGCCACATCATCAGCTGGATAACAACAATAACTAGTTATCTGTGGGCTTATCAACCCCAGATAACCATTATCTTGTTATCAACCTCTGATAACCATTATCCTGTTTTACTTATCAATTTATCTATACATTTAAATTTTGAATTTTAAATTTTGTATCTCAATCTATATAAACCTCTGTAATCTCAGAAATTAATACAATGAGAATTCGCCTCTTTCATTGACTCTCGTATGGTATCAGAGCCCTAGAAGACTAACGTCATGTCTACTCAAAGTTCTTCGATCAACTCTCAAGGTGAGTCCTCTTCCAGAAATAATGGATTGGTTACTCTGTCCAGTTTCATGAATGTTATCATAGTTCGCCTAGATAGATACAATTATCTCTTATGGTCTATGCAAATTCTCCCTACACTCAATGGGTATCAACTTATTAGATATGTCGATGGATCACTGCCATGTCCATCAAAATTTCTTCCTAGCACCAATGATCAACAGTTCAACCTCAAATTCATCTCCTGATATGAACAAGATCAGCTCATATTGAGTTGGCTTCTTTCTTCTCTCATAGAGCATGTTCTTGCTCAAGTCATAGGATGCAAAACTTCTAAGGAAGTATGGGACCAGCTCAGCCACTTATTTTCTTCCACTAACAAATCTAGGATGCATGATTTGAAGCTGGAGTTAACACATATTAAAAAAGAAGACCTATTAGTTGCGGATTACATTTAGAAAATCAAAGGAATTTCTGATGCTCTTGTTGCTTCTAATTATTGTATATCAGATTCAGATCTTATTCATTATCTTCTTGGTGGTTTGCCGCCAGAATATGATTCTTTTGTTATCACAATTACTGCTTGTTTGGATGATTTGACCATGCCAGATGTGCATAGTTTGCTTCTTACCTTTGAGAAGCATTTAGTTCGCCATGCTATTTCTGTTGATTCTCCCTCTGCTAATGTTGCAAGCAAGAAAGGGGGGAATACTTCTGGACACTCACAATAGTATTATTCAAATAAATCCCAACAGTTTTCTTCTTCGGACAACAAGAAACATCCCAACAATGGTTCTAAATGACCTAGTGGTAAGGATACTTCTGTTGTTTGTCAGATTTGTGGATATGTTGGGCACACTGCTACCACTTGTAGGAAATATCTAGAGCTTCTAGGGGCGAAGAAGTTTTCCAATAGGAATGCCAATGTAGCTTCTCGCACTACATCTTCTGCAGGGTCTTCTCGTGACTCAGTCTAGTATCCGAAT